AGGCATGCACCCCCCCCCTTTCACCACCATGCTTGCACCCTCCTTTCCTCTCATGGCTGCACACCCTGCTCTCAACACTACACCATGGCGCCTGACCGCAGCACCTGTGCATATAGACCACTCCCTGAAAACCAACTATCCTTGCCTGCTTCGACCTCTGCCTGAAAACCGACTATCCATGCCTGCCGCCTGTTTGGACCTTTGCCTAGAAACCGACTATCCTTGCCTGCCTCGACCTTTGCCTGAAAACAGACTATCCTTGCCTGCTGCCTGCCTTGCCCTCTGCCTGGAAACAGACTATATCCGTGCCTATTGCCTGCCTTGACCCCTGGCTGGAAACAGACTATCCTTGCCTGCTGCCTGTCTCGACCTCCGCCAGAAGCAGGCTCATCTGCTTGCCACCATTCTGTCTCCTCATTGTAGCATTCCTGTCAGCTCCTGGTGGAATGATCCTGAGGGCTTGGTGGCATCTTGCAGCAAAGTAGCCCGGTGGCCACTAGGCCACCATCCCATCATTCCTTGCGGGAAGCTCCACTAAAGACCAGGGTGACACTTAGACTTCATGCTTTGGATGAGGCCGATTCGCCTGTCAGGGGTGAATCATCGCCCTTCATCATGGTTCCTTTTCTGGCTGTATACATCAGGAGCACCTACCATGATGGCCAGTAAGTACTTCCCAGCAAAAACACCATCTTTGTTCAGACATCATTCAGGGTCACCATCTACTTTCCGGATGGCCGGCTGTGTTCCTGTCCTCACGCTCCACTGTGTACCTTCAGACCATGTGACCATTTTCTACCAAACCGGACCCGACGCTCTGCTGACATTTGTAAACCGCTTTATTTTCTTATGAAAGTAGTCAAAAAAATCTGTGAGCATTAAATGCAAATTAGAAAACCCCCGGAGTCTTTTGCGGCCTAAAAAGTGATGCGTCTCCAGCGGGGACGGAGTGACCCAAGGAAGAAATATGTCCTCTGCTCACAAGCCCATTACACGGGGTCGCCTACTTGGCTGCCCGGGCGCCAGGAGCCTATGTCCCAAGCCACCACCACCAATAAAACCAAAAGAGGACAGCACTTAAAATTCAGGCCAGGTGTAACTTTATTGTTCTGGACTGGCAGACACAAAGCCCTCGCCTGGGACCTCCTCTGACGTGTTCCACCCCAAAACTGAGCTCAACCGTAGACTTTTTCACTTTTGGGTGAAATGCGTCAAATTAGGACTTTGCGCCTGCTTGTTCGGAACAGACGGAGCACCCCATGACACCCGAAGGTCCTATACGTTCGGTCCAGCTTGGTTTCATCTAACTCTTTATATCTCACATCTGGAGGGCTACCGGGGATGCCAAAATTCACTGTAGTAGCCCAGTGCTGTACAGCTTTTCTTGGTGCTGCTTGTTCGACTTGCCTTCCGTTCCCTGACCACACGCAGTCACTTGCTTCCGCCATTCAGAGAATGTCTTGTATCTTTTCCAATGAATACAAGGTGCAGAGGCGGGGCCGATGGCGTTACAATCTCCACCTCATCCAATCAGAGAATACCTTGTGTTCATTGAAACACATGCAACACATTCTCCGAATGGCGGAGGCGACTCCCTGTGTCCTGCATAAAGACTCGGTCGAGCAGCACCCAGAAAAGCTCAGCGCCGACTGTATATAGCAGTGGTGGCGAACCTTGGCACTCCAGCTGTGCCAAAACTACATATCCCAACATGCATCTGCCTCTGGGAGTTATGTCTGTGGCTGTCAGAGCCTTGCAATGCCTCATGGGACTTGTAGTTCCAAAAGAGCTGGAGTGCCAAGGTTCGCCATCACTGGTATATAGCATAGGCGTCCATGTGAATTTCGGCATCCCCAGCACCCTTCGGATGTGGATTATCAAACTGGACCAATGGTAGTTTTTTTTAAAAAAAGAACTCAGTTTTAATATTAATTTTGATCTACTAAGGACCAGATGCTCTCAGGACACTTTGGAAGATATCACAGGATATAAAGGCGGGCCAGGTCCACTTATAAAATGCACAGAAGACAGGCTCAGTAGGCTTCTCTCAGAGCTTCTGGGCAGGGCCACAGCCTGCTTGCCCATGCCACGCAATCTGCCTCAGGCCACGGCTGGTGGTGCGGAGACCAAGATCCATTCCTTCAGGTTCAAGCCGCTTAGACTTCGGCCTTTTAACGTCTTTGGTAATTTACCAGGTTGACCCGTTGTTAGGATGCGCTTGGAGGTTTGAACCATCTGAGCAAGCCCTGGAGAAGGTCAGTAGAAGATCTTCTCAGAAGGGCACCTGCTTCTCCAGTCCATGCATGGTTTTATGGTAATCCAACAATGGTTTTGCCTCAAAGCAGCTTCCGCATTCTCCGCACAGGAAGGGCTTCTGGATGTGTATCTTCTGATGCTTAATAAGATTCGATTTGACTGAAAAGCATTTGCCACACTCGGGACAGGAATAGGGCTTCTCCCCCGAGTGAAGCTTTTGGTGGGCGATGAGATACGCTTTGTCCGGAAAGCACTTTCCACACTCCGGGCAGGAGTATGGCCGCTCCCCCGTGTGCATTCTCTGGTGGGTCACGAGGTTCGACTTCCACTTGAAGCTTTTCCCGCACTCGGTGCAGGCATAAGGCTTCTCCCCCGTGTGAACTTTTTGGTGGCTGATGAAATAGGACCGGTCTTTAAAAGACTTCCCGCACTCGGAGCACGAATAAGGCTTCTCTCCCGTATGAGTCCGCTGGTGGGTAACAAGGTGAGTCTTGTATATGAAAGACTTCCCACATTCTGAACAGGAATATGGCTTCTCCCCTGTGTGGGTCTTGTGATGCAGAATAAGGTTCGGCCTCCGAGTGAAGCATTTGCCGCACTCGGAGCACGAGTAAAGGTCCCGGCCTGTGTGTGTTTTCTGATGTTCGAGAAGGTAACGTTTCCTCGAAAAGCTTTTCCCGCATTCGGAACAAGAGTACGGCTTCTCCCCGGTGTGAATTCGGAGATGGATGTTGAGGTCTGCTCTCTTGCCGAAACATTTGCCACACTCCGAGCACGGTAACATGTCACCCCCTCGTCCTATGGCTTGATGGGTGGTGGCCTCGGAGGGATCAGGGCAACTCCACGCATTGGTGGACCGGTCAAGTGATTCATCTGTGCCGTGAGGTAAAGGATGGAGATCTGAGGTGATGGGGCTTTCTTCTGAAGAGCCGGATTTAGAGTCATCATCTTCTATCTCACCACCTGGAGATGTACCAAGATGGTCCTCCATGCTGTACCTTCTGTAGCGTCCATCTGGAGGGGAAAAAATGGAGTTTGAGGAACATTTTCCAAAATTGCTAAAGGATAAGTGCTCTGTATCCTGTTTCTGTCATCAGTTTGGATGTATAAGAGACCCCAGAGAGTGTGTGTGGGGGGGGAGACTGGTCACGTCTCTTGGCTGATAACACACAATGACATGATGTGAGGAGGAGAGCCGGAGTCTAATAGAGGCTGATGGCTCCTGACGCCCCCCACTAGACACATTCCGTCCCCCCATTACTGTCTACTGACAGAGGAGCGGGGAGAAGAAGAGATTGTTGTAGTGACTGAACAAGGAGAATCTGGGACTCTTTTCTGGATTTAGTGTTTATTCCTCACCTGTGCTGATCTCTGGAAGGATTTCCTCCTCCTTACACAGATCATCACCCACCATGTATGTCTCTTCTTCTTCCTCTTTAACTTCCACTTTAATACTGAGCAGATTTTCATCCTAAATCAGAAAAATAGCCCATGATATAAAACTAACAATAGCCATGTGAGCCATCATCACTTAGGCTCGGCAGATATTCTCTAAAGTTGATTTTTCAAATGTAAGAGCTGAAGGACTCATCTACCTGATCCTCCTGAGGGATCTCCTTATGTTCCTGTGTGGAATCCCAGCAATACAGAGGACGGGCCTGAGGGATCTCATGATCTTCCTGTGTGGAGTCCCAAGAGTACAGAGGACGGGCCTGAGGGATCTGATGATGTTCCTGTGTGGAATCCCGGGAATACAGAGGACGGGTCTGAGGGATCTCCTGATGTTCCTGAGGGATCTCCTGATGTTCCTGTGTGGAATCCCGGCAATACAGAGGACGGGTCTGAGGGATCTCCTGATGTTCCTGTGTGGAATCCCGGGAATACAGAGGATGGGCCTGGGGGATCTCCTGATGTTCCTGTGTGGAGTCCTGGGAATACAGAGGACGGGGACATCTCTCTGGGGTATTTCTGTTACAAGATCCATCTGTAGGAAACACACAATAACAGAAGATATAATGTCAGCATTTGCTATAAGTCCCCAGGAACGCTGTGATGGGGCACATGTATAGATGTAGATGAGGAATACAAATTGAGGAGTTCAGGGCAACCAGGGTCTATAAACACTGTCCCCTCATAGAATGTCTGAGCTGAAGGGGATGGCATGGCTCTTTTTGCTGCTTTTAACTCCCACACTCCGGCCCTGCTGTGCACAGACTTCAAGGGGCTGATGCCAGGTCACATACAGAAACTTAGCTTGCTTGTATTTAAAATAGACATATAATGTGGACAGAGCTGCATTCATTTGTGTCTTTTATATCTGCCTGAAGTTCAGCTTTAAGAGCGCAGATTGAGGTTCCTCTCTCCAAGCACTCTGCACAGAGCTGGAGAAGAAACAGTTCCCACCCCGTGATCTGAATTTGGCATACCCTCAGCATGTTGTTAGAGGTGGACACATCTGCAGATGTTCCCATAATCCAGTTCTTCCAATCTGCTCAGGACAGGACTCAAAATGCGTCAAACCGTAATTCTAACGGCCAAGTACAATGTCCTGACGTACACAGAATAAGAAAGACCTGGTAACCTTTTTCTCTCTCTCTGCTGCTCACCTTTGGTAGACACAATAAGAATCTCCTCCTCTTTAATATCTCTGTGTCTTTCTCCTTCAGCTTGGAAATTTCTTGTTATGGGGTCCCCGGGGTCTGTGAAAAAAGATGAGAGTGAAGGCCCCTGTAGTGAGATGTATGAGAGACCCCAGAGAGTGTGTGTGGGGGGAGACTGGTGACGTCTCTCGGCTGGTAACACACAATGACATGATGTGAGGAGGAGAGCCGGAGTCTAATAGAGGCTGATGGCTCCTGACTCCCCCCACTAAACATATTCCGTCCCCCCATTACTGTCTACTGACAGAGGAGAAGGGAGAAGAAGAGATTGTTGTAGTGACTGAACAAGGAGAATCTGGGACTCTTTTCTGTATTTAGTATCTGTTACTCACCTGTGCTGATCTCTGGAGAACATTCCTCCTCCTTACACGGCTCGTCGCCCATCATGGACATCACTTCTTCATCTTCAACTTTAACAACAGTCAACCCATCACTCTGGATAAAACACAGAATGTTTTACATTTTCCTGTTCTCCAGATTGCACAAAAAGAAGAAGATGTTATTAGTTCATGACTATAGATGAGCTTTGGGTTCAGGATTACCACAAGTTCAACCAGAACCCGAGCTGCTCAACAAAAAAATGTGGCCAGTTTCTCACCAACTGAACCTCCATCTGTGTCCTAGAGAATAATGACGGTTTCCTTTTGGCTGAGCCATACAGCTTCATTGGTTGCTAGGACACAGACAGGCTCACCATAACAACCGATTATGCTGATGCTGTGGGGCCAATAGTGTCAGCAGGTTGCACAGGGTGAACTGGTTGCTAGGACGCAGGTGGACTCACAATGTCATTGGTTGTAATGAAGGACACAATACCAATCAATGATGCTATGTGGCCCAGCTGCTAGCATCCTAGCCACCAAGGGAGCCGTGTGGGTCTACCCACACAGTTTCATTGGCTGCTAGGACACGGACAGCCCTAAATTTGGTCCGCTGGGACATTTGCCGAACCCAGGCTCCTGGATGGGTTCAGCAAGTGTCCAAAAAAAACAAACCCAGGTACGTTTGGACATCACTTTGCATGTTTGTATCAGAGAACCTTTGTTCCGTCTACCTGATCTTCCTGAGGGATCTCATGATGTTCCTGTGTGGAATCCCGGGAAAAGAGAGGACGGGTCTGAGGGATCTCCTGAAGTTCCTGTGTGGAATCCCGGGAATACAGAGGACGGGCCTGAGGGATCTCCTGATGTTCCTGTGTGGAGTTCCAGGAATACAGAGGATGGGGACATCTCTCTGGGGTATTTCTGTTCCTGGATCCATCTGTAGGAAACACACACACTGACTGAATACATTGTTTCTATGTCTTTATATCAGAGGATGTGTGTATCTAGGGGGATCCTCAATACTCAAGAAATGAAAGTCTCCTCTTACCCGGTGATGTGAGGGGCGGCCGGTTCTCCATCATGACGTCCTAGCTTCTGGTGGTTGACCTGTAAAGGTAAAGTCACAATAAATATTTGAATTAACACAACAATCAACATGTCACAGTTTTTGTGCCTCCTTCAGTAGAGGGTGATCCTGAGCAGGTGGTAGGTGAAGCTTAAACAGGGGGCAACTTTGCACCTGATAGCTGACCCAGAACTAACCGGCTGAGGACAGGCCTCCGGAGGGCCTTCTTTAGGAAGGATAGACAAGAGGTATTATGTTCAATACTGGAGATACAACAGAAGACATTTCCATGCAATGTGACTGCTTTAAATGCCTATTTATGTCTCTAGAAACCCCAATACACACCAGTGGAGACTAATTACCCCATTGTAGAGCCTGCTGACCCCTGACAGTGGGCTGTATAGAGGACATGTGACACCCCGAATGCATGGACCCCCCTTTAATACACTAGTACCTCCTTCTCCCTGGACACACACTAGATAGCCTCACATTCCTGCTAAGAGCATTCTTACACAGCTGGAGCTCCTCCCTGTCTTCGCCAATGGGCTACAACAAAATGGCCGCTGCATTTATTCACATTTGTCCATATTTATTCTCAAATTCTATTCCATGGTGACTGAAATAGGATTCATATAAAAGTCCATTCACAATATAGAGTTCGTGTAGTAAAATTCACGCATAGCTGAGCTCTCCCCCCACGCTAGCCACTGCATAGCTGCCTGTCACATTAGGGAATCTCACAGAGCCACCACTAGAGGGCGGAAGTTCAATGTGGAAGAAGTGTCTTCAGTGCCAAGGGAGACGCGGCCATTGTATCGTAGCCACCGGCTATTTTATTTCCTCGCTTACGTTTTTTTTTCAATCAATTTATATTTTAATTATCTAATGATTGTATGTATATTTTCCTGTAATAAAAATAAATAATAATGTCCCTCTGTCCTACAGAAAGAACAAAAGCAGAACTCAGTAACATATGAGCTGCTTGTGTATGGGGATAGCGGACATTTTGTTGTAGCCTCAGATAGCAGGTAAAATAACATCTAGCTCATATAAACTTTCTGTGTGTCCTCCCCCGGGATCTGGGTTATTGTAATAGGAAGCTGCACAGTGTGAAGGTAAGGTACAGGCTTGGTTGTGTGTAAGATGGTGGATCATCCCTTTAAGAGTAAACATATAGGAATAACATGGAGAATTACACAGGTGGGTGAATCTCAGGATCTGTGTGTGAGCTGAGTCATTCGTATGTTCATATGTATTTAAACCTATAGGCCTGAGCTGACATCCCTGGTGGAGTGGGTTCATATGAAAGCCGCCCATGATATAGTTGCCGTGCGTCCTGCCACCTTCTGGAATGTCCCAATATTATTTTTTTTGTGCCAGGGAAGGGGCATGCTGCCACCAACAAGGGCACAATCTATTCGTGTAGTTCCTCAGATTTGTTATTCTGTATTCTAACCCATTGTACTAAATTGTTATTTGTTACAGAGGTCTCATCACAGTTGGTTCCTCCCCAGAGAAGCAGACTCCATTCCTGGTCTCATCAGTACAGATGGAGGCCAACCGGGGTCACATGACTGAGAGGGTATTAAACCTCACCCTGGAGATCATCTACCTGCTGACCGGAGAGGTGAGGAGGATTCTGGGAGGTCACATGACATCACTCTTATCTCTATTCATAAAACCCAGACCTGACCGGGGAGGTGAGGAGGATTCTGGAAGGTCACATGACATGTAAAACACAGACAGGTGAAATATATTATGGGACATATATTTATGTTTCATTCATTGTGTAGGATTACGGACCCATAAAGAAGAAGACTGTTGACCACTCATCCCCCTTCCTGGTACACGAGAGGAACAACGACAAGAAGATTCTAGAAGTCACCCAGAAGATCATTGGTCTGCTGGCAGGAGAGGTGAGCGGTGCCGGGAATTCTGGGACATGATCCAGGAACAGACAAGGGATGTGTCTGGATGGTGACTGTATCATTGTGTGTGTCAGGTTCCTATAAGGTGTCAGGATGTCTCTGTCTATTTCTCCATGGAGGAGTGGGAGTATCTAGAAGGACACCGGGATCTCTACAAGGACGTCATGATGGAGAACCGGCCGCCCCTCACATCACCGGGTAAGAGGAGACTTTCATTTCTTGAGTATTGAGAATCCCCCTAGATACACACATCCTCTGATATAAAGACATAGAAACATTGTATTCAGTCAGTGTGTGTGTTTCCTACAGATGGATCCAGGAACAGAAATACCCCAGAGAGATGTCCCCGTCCTCTGTATTCCCGGGACTCCACACAGGAACATCATGAGATCCCTCAGGCCCGTCCCCTGTATTCCCGGGATTCCACACAGGAACATCATGAGATCCCTCAGGCATGTCCTCTGTATTCCCGGGATTCCACACAGGAACATCATGAGATCCCTCAGGCCTGTCCTCTGTATTCCCGCGATTCCACACAGGAACATCAGGAGATCTCTCAGGCCCGTCCTCTGTATTCCCGCGATTCCACACAGGAACATCAGGAGATCTCTCAGGCCCGTCCTCTGTATTCCCGCGATTCCACACAGGAACATCAGGAGATCTCTCAGGCCCGTCCTCTGTATTCCCGGGATTCCACACAGGAACATCAGGAGATCCCTCAGGATGACCAGGTAGATAGAACGAAGGTTCTCTGGAACAGGCATGAACTAATAGCGTCTTCTTTTCTTGCAATCTGGAGTTCAGAAGTATTGAAAGCATTCTGTGTCTTATCCAGAGTGTTGGCTTGACTGTCATTAAAGTCGAAGATGAAGAAGAGATGTCTATACTGGGTGAAGAGCCGTGTAAGGAGAAGGTAATCCCTTCAGAGATCCACACAGGTGAGGAATAAACACTAAATCCAGAAAAGAGTCCCAGATTCTCCTTGTTCAGTCACTACAACAATCTCTTCTTGTCCCCCCTCCTCTGATCTAGACATAGAAACAATGTATTCAGTCAGTGTGTGTGTTTCCTACAGATAGATCCAGTAATGGAAACGCACCAGAGAGATGTCCCCGTCCTCTGGATTCCCAGGACTCCACACAGGAACATCATGAGATCCCTCAGGTCCATCATCTGTATTCCCGGGACTCCACACAGGAACATCAGGAGATCCCTCGGGTCCATCGTCTGTTTTCCAAAGACTCCACGCAGGAACATCAGAAGAACCCTCAGGAAGATCAGGTAGATGGAACGAAGGTTCTCAGGAACCGGCCTGAACTAATAGCGTCTTCTTTCCTTGCAATCTGGAGGTCAGAAGTATTTAAAGCTTTCTGTGTCTTATCCAGAGTGATGGCTTGACTGTCATTAAAGTCGAAGATGATGAAGAGATGTCTATACTGGGTGAAGAGCCGTGTAAGGAGAAGGTAATCCCTTCAGAGATCAGCACAGGTGAGTAATAAACGCTAAATCCAGAAAAGAGTCCCAGATTCTCCTTGTTCAGTCACTACAACAATCTCTTCTTCTCCCCTCTCCTCTGATATAGACATGGAGACAATGTATTCAGTCAGTGTGTGTGTTTCCTACAGATGGAGCCAGTAATGGAAACCCACCAGAGAGATGTCCCCGTCCTCTGTATCCCGGGAACTCCACGCGGGAACATCATGAGATCCCTAAGGCCCCTCCTCTGTATTCCCGGGATTCCACGCAGGAACGTCATGAGATCCCTCAGGCCCCTCCTCTGTATTCCCGGGATTCCACACAGGAACATCATGAGATCCCTCAGGAAGATCAGGTACATGGAACAAAGGTTCTCAGGAACAGGCATGAACTAATAGGTCAGAAGTATTTAAAGCTTTCTGTGTCTTATCCAGAGTGATGGCTTGACTGTCATTAAAGTTGAAGATGACGAAGAGATGTCTATACTGGGTGAAGAACCATGTAAGGAGAAGGTAGTCCCTCCAGAGATCAGCACAGGTGAGTCAAACGCTAAATCCAGAGAAGAGTCCCAGAGTCTCCTTGTTCAGTCACTACAACAATGTCTTCTTTCCTCCACTTCCATCGTTCTAACCATTCCAACCCCTTCTTCATTTTTCATTCCTCCAGATGGAACAAGAAGGAATAACTTGGCCGAAGGTCCTGTGATCTGTCTAGACAGTGAGACGGAAGACACCGACATCACGTCTGATTCTTCGGACTATGACTCCATTACGCCGAGTCGCCGTTCAGTCCTTCCTAGTGCAGATCTTTCCTCCGATCCGCCCGCCGTCACCAATCCCGCGCGGTGCAGCAAGGGTGAGATTTTACCGCGTCCAGAGGGAGGCGAAACTGTTACCAAGACAGAGAACGTTGTTGAGCAAGAGACGAGAGACACGGGCCAGAGTGAGAGTTCTTTCACTTGCTCCGAATGCGGAAAATGTTTTGCCCTGAGATCGAGCCTTACCCGACACCGGAGAGCGCACACCGGGTCCAAGCCGTACGTGTGCACCAAATGCGGGAAAGGTTTTCTTCTCAGGTCGTACCTGACCAGCCACCAAAAGGTTCACTCAGGGGAGAAGCCCTATTCCTGCCCCGATTGTGGCAAATGTTTTGCCGTCAAGTCGGGTTTCACCCGCCACCAGAAAGTCCACAGTACCGAGAGACCGTTTTCGTGCGAGCAATGTGGGAAGTGTTTCCAGTGGAAGTCATCCCTGGACTATCACAAGAAGACGCACGACGTCGAAAAGCCGTTTGCGTGCCAGCAGTGTGGGAAGTCATTTCAGTGGAGGACGTTTCTCGACTTTCACATGCATACGCACAGCGATGAAAAGCCCCTTTTCTCCTGAGTACGAGAGTGTGTTAAGTTTTACTAAATCCCCTCCGTATGGAAGGGTAGGCGAACTTTTTATGGTAAAAATAAAAAAAATTGTTCTTTGTGGAGTGCTGATTTCATAATTTTGGAGGCCAAAGCGATATAATGATGACTTCCATAAAGTACCTGCTTTCAGTGCAGTGTCAGTCAACATGTACAAAACGAAGGTGCCTTGTAGGGAATAGGTAGTGAGAAGAAAATAGATTCCTGATGGACTCGAGGCTGAACTTGACCCTGCAACATTGCCACTTCATGCACATGCAGAGCCAGATGTTTTGATGGGGGGAGCGAAGAGATTTTGAAGTGAATGGGAGCCACTGTAACTGGGATTGGGGGGAGGTGTTTGAGGGGTGCTGTGAGGTGGGCGGAAGGTGGTGGGCTGACTTGGGTACAAGGTACTGTGATGGAGAAGGTCAGGGTGGTGAAGTGGGTGGGAGGCGTTGA